CCCTATTAATTGATTGTTAGTCTAAAATTGAATTACCATTTAAATGACTTAAACAAAATAAGATTAGTTGCTGAAACCTCAAATTAAACTCACAAAGCTCTGCAGGTGACGTCACAAGATAAGATCGGTTTCTTTGAACCACTCACTTTTTCATTTGAAGAGAAAGTCAGCCACCAGAGCAGTAAAAGAATCGCATTAAATCTGATAATACGGTTAAAATCAGATGTTTATTCTGTATAAAAAAGACACAATCATTTATTTTATTTTCTTCCAGATGATGCCTGAAATCCGAGTGGCTCTCTTCGGCGCCAACCCAAACCGCAAGTTCATGGACTGAGAGCCTCTGCTGTATTCAAGACAAACACTCCTTTTTTTTCTTCTTTTTTTTTAAATTCTCATTGTTTTATGAAACACACCATTCCTTCATCTGTGAAACAAAAATGCTGACGCAGAAAAGAGTCGTCGTGCGTGTGATGTGTTGCTGTGCGTTTCTAWGGGGCGTGACCGAAGCTGCAGATTAACGATGCAGATGTGCGTAGATGTTGCTGCGCAGCTGGTAAAGACTGGTTTTAACTCTGCTGCTCTCAGTTCCCAGTGGGCTTTTGTTTTTTTCAGGGATTTGGCTGCATGTTTAACAGGTCGTCGCCTAATCGGATCAGTTTACGACACACGGCTTTTGTGCCGCAGCAGTTTCATGAACCTCTGCAGCACGTTGTAAGCTGCACGGAGCATTGTGTAGCCAATCAGTGTCTGCTCCAACCAGTCACAGGCAAACAAACGGTACCCTAGAAACCAAACTGTCCACGGTTCACGACCCTACGGCGTTAATTTATTGATGTTACATCGAGTTATTCGTCATTCCAGAAGGTGCATTGTATGTATATGAGGTTTTCCAAACTTAAATTATATTTGTGTGCTTGTTTTGTTTTGTTTTATTTGTGATTGTACCCCCACTGTAAATGTAAAAGTATATAAAAACAATCTAAATGTCTACTCCTCTCCTCCATGTTCTTTCTTTGACTCATCCGGTCCATTCATGCCTCATTCATTAGTTTATCACATGGTCAGACAAAAAAAAAAAAAAAAGCTCCAGTTATTTGATTCTCAGCATTTTGCTGACATGCTCAGTTTGTTGAGGGAAAACAAGCTTCACTTTCAGAGAGGGCAGAGCTGGGACGCGTCTCCAGGATCAGCTCTTAGGTTGTGAGTATCACCACAAAAAATAGATTTAAGTGATTTTTGTTTTTGTTGTTGAAGCTTTAATTTAATTTTCTTTTCAGCTCACAGGAGCATGTTTTAGCGCTGCGCTTCACTGCGAGAGCTGAGAACATGGTCTCTCTCTGCCTGGCCCTGCTCTCCTCTCTCCCCCTGCTGTGGTTCCTGAGGGGAGGCCACGCGATGCCCGATCCTGCTCGCAGGGACCTGCTGATGCGTGAGGAGATGTCCAGGCAGACGGGAGGCCTGCTGGCGCTGACCGCCGCGGAGCAGAAGCTAGACGCTCGCCTCCGGCAGCTAAAGGAGCAGGAGATGTCCGCTGCACGCTTCCTCCCTGCTGTTCACTTCTTTAGGGCGAAGCCTCTCATCGAGAAGAGCTCCATCTTCAAACTGCTGCAGAAGATGCCTAAAGGTGAGCACACACGACCTGAGGGGGCCGTAAAGTAATCCCCCTTTTTTAATGTGTTAAACCTGTGTAGACTGTCTTTAATCAGATATACAGTACCAACATTTTCAACACTTATAAAAGAAATAAGAAAAATAGCAAAACCTGATTACAAGAAAAAAATAAACACAAGTAGCTTGTTCATCCCACTGCTACAAAAAGGCTGAGATTAGAGAAGATAAATATAAAAACTGAAAAAATAAGCACAATTAAGAACTTTAAAGATGCTAACTTTCTTCATGTAAGGAAAAATTTATGATTGTTAACTGTTACACAAAGTTACAAATAAACAAAAAACACAACACATTTACAAATATGAAAAAAATAGCTAAATAAGTACAAAACATTAAAACCA